TCTATAAATTTTAAATTTTGTATTCTTTGGTTGTTTCGTAGGCCTAGCCAAGAGCAATCTTTTGCCAGATTATTAGAAAACTTTTTTTTTTAACTTTTACGGTATACCGCGGTAGCATCTTTTTCGGAGACGCCTCCAATTTTTTTATATACCTACTGAACCTTAAAAAAATTCCAATTTAATATTATTTTTGTTAATCGCTTTGTTTACAAAAAAAGAACAAATTTTCTTTATATAAATTTTTATAAATGATATTTGGTACAAATAATAATTTGTTTGATTTTATTAATTCAAGCCCAATGCACCCTGCAAACTTAAGAGATATAAAAATAATGAAAAATATGAAATTTGTATAAAATTAATTGTAACAACAATTATAATAAAAAAAGGTGTATCCATATTGATTATTTAGCAAAATTATTGTATCCTTTACCTGTTAAAAAACAATAGAAGAAAGTAAAAAAACTATATAAAGTAAACTCTTATTTTGGCTATAGCCAAAATAAGAGTATACCAAATACAGGGGGGGGGGTGGGCATGTTTCAAATGCCATGGCCCGGGACGGTTTTTTTTACAACCCCTTCCTCCAAATCCTTAAGTATTTGCCTAGTGGAAGTGATACCTTGATTTTTCACGTGGAGTGGTTTTCCAAAATTAAATATTTCTGCTATTGATTTTGCAACTATTAAAATTATATTTTTTTTGTTTAAAATTTATGATGCGAAAACTACTACTATCGAAAAAAAAAATAATAAAAATTAAATATTCGGTAAAAAAAATTGGTATTTACTAAATAATAAACAAATGTTTGTTTGTAATGGTGTCAATCGGTAATTATTTTTTTTAACATTACAGAATATGAAAAAAAAATCTCTGGGATCGAACATATTCGTAAATATTTGGAATTTTGTTACACGGGGTGCGCGAGAAAAAATGTAATATTTGTGTTTGTGTTTTGGGTGTCCAAACCTCCTCAGGAGGTTACTATAATTTTCACTTAAAATACTGAACAATTATTTAAAAATATACCTACTCTCTAAAAATGAATTAGTATGTAAAATTGTCCCCTGAATCCGAAAATGTCGTCAAAAGTAGAACAGTTTTTGAGATATAATATGGAATTGACTAAATCTCAAAAACTGCTTTACTTTTATAATTTTTTACGTGTATTTTCGGATTCAGGGGACCGTTTTACATAAGAATTGGCTGTTAAAAGTTGGGATATCATGGGATATGGTGAACCATGCATGGTTCACCATATGTGAAAAAGCAGCCACTAATAACTGTAGTAATTAGTCATTTTTTACTATATCATTTTTAGAGAGTATATTTTTTATGAATTTCATAAACCTCGTGAAGCTTAAAATTATCAAAATTGACCCTCTTTCCCTTTCTTGTGACGATGTGAAGATTAACGAATTATCGAACCCGCTACCCCCTAACTTATTCTTTTTTGTATTGGATCTGACAAAAAATGGAACGAATAAGCAATTTTATTCGATTTATTTTGTCACCTGGCGTTTTAAAAATACCTTCCCACTCCAGCTTTACAAGATTCATGGACGGCCCTAAATTTCATAGCCCCCCAGGGCTCCCAGCAGTCCATGTTGCGAGAAATAGTGACTTAAGAGACCAATAATAAAAAATAAACGACCAAATATAGACCAAATTAATTACCGAAATAACTATAAAATGGAGGTATACATTTTTTTGGGATGAAAGATCTAAATTTAAATTTAAAATACATAGAGATAACTTAAAATTATAAATTTTTATTGAATTAAATTTAACAAGTAACCATAACTGTTATAAAATACATAAATAAAAAAAAAATATTAAATTCTGTAATAAATTTTAACTTATAATAAATAGAATCACATTTATATAAAAGGCAGTGGCGTCAGTCATTTAATGGGTTATATTTTTTTTGCTGGGCTGCAGCTGATCTATAATTTTCGCCTTTCGTTTTTCTTGGGCAAGACGACTAATCTTGTAAGTTACCTTCCCCGCTTCTTTTTTGGGATGGTTCACTCCTTTAAACATTAGTTGAGCCATACATATTTTAGTCATTTTTTTATTTTCTGCACCCTTCCTTAATCGTTCAATTTAATTTTTTTTTATGTCAGTACAAGTACATTTAAACTTTGTTTTTATTAAATAATATAAATGTATAATTTTAAATAATCATAACTATAGTTAAACACTTGCCTTTGCTATCGTCTGAACATATTTTTTTAGGGTTATGGAATGGATGATAAAACATACAATAGGAACACATTCTTTGTCACATGTTCTTTGATAGATACTAGGTACTTACTAATTTCATGAAAAATGCATATATAGGTAGTGTTAACCTCGCGAACCGAAACTATAAAGTTTATAGTATAAACGTAAACGAAACCCTAGACCACAATCAATTGTGCCCTAGACCAAACCAGAAACAATTCAGCAATAATTTTGGCGGGCGGTTCGGGTCTGGACGGCGGGAACTTTAAATGTAAACTGCGAAGTTTTCGAATGTTTCACTTGGTTTACTGTGGTTTCGATATTTATAAAACTGTGATTTTTAATTGTTGATTTTAACAGAAAATATAGACTTTATAGACTTTAGGTAAAAAAATAGACTTTTATAGACTTAAGACAAAAATATAGACAAGTCTTAAAAAAAACTACCTGCTGGGAGCCCTGTAGCCCCCCAGAAGGATATCCTGCGCACGGCTCGGGTGCCGCCACCTGAATGGAACAAGTAAAGTGAAAATTTTACTCTTTGAACACAAAAATCTAAAATCTAAGCAGGCGCGGATACAGGGGTGCCAATGGGTGCAATTGCCCCCCTAACTCGCCTACTTGTTTTTTTTTAGGAAACTTAGCATTAGGCAAATCCAAGTATTACATGGATAACAAACTAAAATTTTACAAATTTTTTGTTTAGAAGCATTTTCTGGATGATACTCGTATGTAAAATTACACAAAAATCTACCCACTCTTACTAATGTTTATTTTACTAAAAATTGTACTAAAATTATAACATTCATTTTTGACCATTTTTTGACCCATTTTTGACCCTTGCTCAGATTGCAAGATAATGAAAAATACCCAAAAAATACATATATTTTATAACAATGTCTAATATAGTGAATCTTTAAAATGAAAAGACTATAAACATTCTTATGTGACAAAAACAATTACCCGTTAAATTTTTAAAATATGTATTTAAAATTCATTATTTCGTAAAAAAAAAGTGTTAGGTGTTGTATTTTTATAATTTTTTTGGGCCAGTCTAGATCTCCATTCGGCCAATCTGACATAGCGGCCCACCGGGATCTGTCCCGGCGTCCCGCTGGAGCCCATCCGCCCCTGACCAAATATCATTAAATTATAATTTGTCGCTTGTTTTTTAGCACCCTGTGTTTTAAAAACAAATCAACATTATCAAACAGGTTAAAAAACACCCTGTATATACTTACAAATTCAGCCTCTACTCCTTGTTTCAGTAGTGTTTTTTCAAAATACTTTAGCTAGGCCTAGTACCGGTACTTTATATTTTTCAGAGGAAAAGGAAAAATTATTGATGTATTGGATACCTAATTTTTTTCTGCAATGCTTGCAAGTGTTAATTTAAATCAATTGATGTCTGCAAAAATTTGCATAATTACTTTAAATTTGCCTAAAAACATTAAATACCACAATATTCTCCTCCGTTTTTGCTCCGGGATAGGGAAATATATTCTTTTCTATTTTTTTGTACCATTTTATTATAAAACTATGGAAATCATACTTAACTTAACTTAAAACACTTTGGAAACAAAATAGAAAGCACAGGCCCGTCCCTGGCGAGCGTGCAGTGCGTACACGCACGCAGGCGCAACATTTTGGGGGCGCAAAATCAAAAAGTCAATCAGTACTTTGTAACGATAAACTTTCTTGCATATAATACTTAAACATACATAGGATAAAGGTTAACGCATTTTTTTGCGTCGGCCACTATAAAGCGCCTTTTGCCGCTTTGTTATTGGCGGCTGATTTTTTTTTGGTATGAGGATCAAAATAAAAGGAGAGAAATGGCCATAATATTTTTAGTATTTGTTTGATAGTTGCAGTTGACGGTAGAAAAGTTTAACAGTAGTCTACACAGTGCATGACTTGGTAACGAGCTTATAAGCTGATATTAGTCGCTGCTCTTTCGCTATGGCAATTAGACTAATTGAATTAGTAATTTTTGATTAATTCTCTTTTAAAGAGTACCTATACTCTTGAAAAAAGGAATTCGTCAAAAATGACTAATTGAATTAGTCTAATTGCTATAGCGAAAAAGCAGCGGCTAATAATACTAGTTTACAACATCGAAAAAAAATTCTGCCCACCATATTCCATTATAATTTTCCCATGTATTTTGACCCACTAAACACGAAAATCACTCAATTTTTTTATGAGAGGCTCTTACTGCCCAGTTACAAGTGTTTACGTCCTTGAGCTTCTCGAAGCCATCCACTCACAGACATGTGAAATTTTAAATCTTGAAACATCCACTAAATCAATTGCACAAATCAGAAATACCTAGCTGAAAGGTCAAAGCTTGCGATATTGTCAAGAAATTCCGGTATATTTCTATACCGGGAACCCCATTTTACCCTTCCTGGGTCAAAGTCGACTATTTTCAGACTTTTTCATGGAGCGATGTACAGCCATTGATGGATTCAATCGAACTCTAATTATACACAATTTTATAAATAACACTGCGCTGCGCGCTCTAGCGGCCGACCGCGAACCTGTTTAGGAATGTGTGGATAACTTCACACAAACAGTTTATATAAACTGCTATTCTTATTTTTGCGAGTTTTATCGAATACTAAATTTTCCAGATTAAAATCTGAGACCCTTTATATAAGGAATATACAGTTTGAAAAAATCCGTACCTCATTTTTTTTACAACTAAACTACTGTATTTAAAATTATTTATAAACCTGAAGACTTTCAATAAATAAATAAGTTTTTATTTTAATTATTGTACTTTATTTTCTAATAGGGGGAAGATAAAATTTCTTACGAAAAGTAGAAATAAATAAAGGGGTCATAACAACATCAACCCATTTTTTAGCAGTAACGCTGTTATTGACAGAAGTACAAATGTCTTGAAAATGTGTTTTATGTCCCAATCTCTGCATTTCATCGCACAGAGTCTGTATAAACCAGGTGCCATGTTTTTTGTCTCTTATGGCTGCATACCCCGGGACAGTTGCCCAAAAAGTCAAATTATCCGCAGTATCTTGAACCGTGACCGGGCCATCAGTAGTTAGATCACCATCTGTAGTCAGCTCATCCTCGGACTCGTCGTCTGACACTGTGATTTTTTGCTTTTCTTTACCTTGACAGGATTGCAAAACTAACACTTTTGGTTTTCCGGACAGGTGGGTTTTGTTTGATTTCGTTAAAATCCGTTGAATTTCGCTTACAGCCACTTTACAGCTATTTGTTCCATAAACTACGTCTTTATCGCCATGGGAAAGAATACACACGAAAATGCTGGATTCTACAGTTATTTCCTTAACTACCTACAATAAAACATAAAATGTTATATTTTTCTATTAATATTAAAGAATGTGTACATTTCTCATACGTTTCCAATTTAGAAAATTGCTGCCTTGAACTGTGGAGAAAATAAACCTCTATCCACGGGTTACCAAAGATAAAGAAGGTTACTATCCAATAAGACGACGGTCGCAAGCTGGGTTAATAGATCAAGGAAACCGCATGCGCATAGCGTTTGTTTACATATTTTCTGAACAACTAACCAACAGTCGTGTATAAAATCGGATCAATGCATACATACTAGAGATGCCACGAATATTCGGCAACTATTCGGTATTCGGCTATTCGGCCACTTTTTTCGCTATTCGGTATTCGGCCGAATATTGCAAACTATTCGGCCGAATACCGAATAGCAAATCATGAAAAAAAGAACTCAAAATATTACTCACAAACATGTTTATTAAACATTGTTTAATTAACCAATAAATTAATATATTAATATTTAAAATCTACCAGTGGTAAGTTATGATGAATGAAAACAATTTTTTCAGCATTTGTTGTTGACAGACGATTGCGTTTTTCATCATAAATTATACCTGCTTCCGAAAACAGCCGCTCACTATATACACTGGTACCGGGAGATGATAAATAACTATTAGCAAATTGAGAAAGGGTTGTATATTTTTTTGCGTTTGCTGACCACCACTTGTAAGGGTCTGCTGTTCGATCTAAGTGAACAGATGACATGTAGAAATTAAGTTCATTTGCAACCGAACTTTTCTGTTCCACGCCCTCATCTGAATGTACATTTTCTGCAGCGACTTCCTCCTACTTCTCAGCTCCACAAGTCGGAGCGGCGCCTTTGATATGGCGGCGAGATTGAATGGTGCGGTCTTTCTTTGACACGGGGTAAAAGCCGGGGCTGCGGTTCGGCCGAACTGAACGACTTGAACCCGCGAAAAGTTCTAAGTGTTGCCGAATATTCGGCTGCCGAATATTCGGCGCTTCGGCCAAGAGTCTCGCCGAATATTCGGTATTCGGCCAAATAAATATTCGTGGCATCTCTAATACATACCGTATAAAAAGCAAAACAAACCTGGTGTTCGCGGATATAGAAAAGAGGGCAAACTCAGATAAAAGTAGATGGGTCAGAATTTCTCGGGCCACCTTAATTAGATCAAAATTAATTTTTGATTGTAGATACATTTTTTTGATAGTATTTTACATCACTAACAGAAATCCAAAAGAATTTTGTAAAAAAAATGTGTCAATGATATTAACAGTCAAAAACTAAAAATAAAAAAATTATTATGGCTTAACTAATTATAATTAGTCCAATTCCAACTATATAACTAGCGTTGAAATCTTGTTTTGACATAGATTCTTTGATATTTTTTTCAATTTTTTTTGTTTTTTTTTATAACAAATTCGAAAATAATTGGCTTCTGCGCCAGCTATCAAGTCGAAAAAAAAAACACATATGTATACTTACTCCAATCATTTCTCGAAATTATGCTGCTGAGAAAAGAATGGCCCGCAGTGACAAAAAGTTATTCAATTTTGAATTAGAAAAGAATTTTTTTGCCTTTTAACCGCTGTTACTTATAATATATTATATAACCAAATTAAAAATATTTTATAATTTAAACTTTGTAATGTATGACCAAGCTCCATACAGAAAAAAGATACACAAATATATACAGATTTTTGTTTACATCATGAAAAATGCAGAATTTTTATTTTACAACAAGGTGTTGGTTATAAAAAAAAAATTAAATATTTAAGTTTGACGACATTTAAAACAAAATATAATGCACATAAAATGTTCTTGTTTTTATCACGATAAAGCCCATTTATTTCTTAATAAATCAACAACCAATACAAGCAAAATTTAAATGTGTACTTTAAAAAAATATTTTTTTTTTAGTTTGCCGCTACACCTATAAAAATAATATGGACATAAAATATGTTTGGCTTCCTCACAGCAAAGCCTATTAATTTCTTAATAAAACAAACAAAAAATACAAGGCTTTACGTTAATTTATAAGGGCAGAATAATTTTTTTAAATGTGATTCTTTTGTAAAACAAAATATACTTAATTTGGGAAAATTATTTTTGTTCATACCAATATAAAGCCTATTTATTTCTGAATTAAAAACAAAAAAACAAGCTCCAAGTCAATTAAAGGGGTCAATGCAAAAAGTGCCTTAGTCACAAATAGGTGATTCTGAGATATTGCGGTTTGAAGGTTTATTTTTTATTATGAAATATTACACAGAATATTATGATAAAAATGTGGGTTATATTTTTTTTGGCGAAAGTGGATTGGACTTCCATGATTAAAAAAAAACGTTTTGTTATATCAAAAAAAATATATAAAATAATTTGGGACTTAAGAACTTTTTGTGTGGAAATGTTTTTATTTTGTCAAAAATTTTGAGGAAAAATTTGTTTATACTTAAAAAAGGTTTATTATATTATAACGCCGTAAAAAATATAAAAGTTGTGAACATAAAAGTTGTGAACAAAACTTAAAACTAAGACATAACTTAGGACATAACTTAAAGCAAAACTAAGAATATAATAAGAAGGCTGGCTATTCATAAACGGCCTCTTGTAACTGATCAATGACATCATTTTCAGACAAGGTTCGAGCAAAAAAAAAACGGTAACTGGTATGTTTTAAAGTTCCACAATCTATTTTATTTTACTTTACTTGCCTGCCATAGTTATGTTTTTAATCACAGACACAAATTATTAGGATTTACACAGTTTAATAGGTAATTTGCTTAGATAAAACCTAATTTAAATAACGTGGGCTAAGGCACATGTTGCATTGCATATGTCAAAATGATGACTTAGGTACTTTTTGCATTAAAAACCAGGTAAACTCCCATTGAAGTAAATGCAAACTAAGGCACTTAGACACATATTTCTGCCACTCTGCAAATACCACCTGAAAGATAATGTGAAACACTTTTAGATAGCGCCACAATCTCAATTTTATTGCGTACAAGATTCGCAGCGTAAGCGGCCACCGCGGTGCACCCACAAAAGGACGAATAAACTGCGGGCCATTTTTTTCTCAGCAGCATAATTTCGAGAAATGATTTGAGTATGTTTTTTTTTCGAGTCAATAGCTGGTGCAGAAGCCAATTATTTTTAAATTTGTTCTAAACAAAAAACAAAAAAAATCGACCTAAATGCAAATTGTACAATTGAAAAAAATAACAAAGAATCTATGTCAAAACAAGATTTTAACGCTATTTATATCGTTGCAATCGGATAATTAGTTCAGCCATAATACATTTTTTTATTTTTTGATGACTGCAATTGAAAAAATATTGGCCGTATTCAAGTTTAATAGACCTGAATATGGTTCTATTCAAGATTTGACCTTTTATATTCGCAGCTTATGTGTCCGAATACTTTGCTGCTCTTATACTTTGTGGATGCTTTTACCTTCATAGTCATTGAATATTTTGTGATGAATACAAATCCGGTATAGGTAATTTAACGTGCTAAATACTTCTCAATGGATTCAGTTTCTCAATACCTCTCTGAAGTATTCAGTCAAAGTTGATGTATGTTCTGATGTCTATACCTGTCAAGTGTTCAAATCTCGAGATATCTTGCTGATGAATATTATTTATTCTATCTTACGTGAACGTTTTCACCTTCATAGTCTTTGAATATTTTGTGATGAATAGGAATTTGATATAGGAAATTTAAGGTGCTTAATACTTCTCAATGGGTCAACCCGGTCAACATTGTAACGTAACATTAACCAAAATGTTATTAAACGATTGTGATGTGTAACATTACAGTTACATAACCTGATGGTTGCAAATAGGTTCCTATTTCCCACTCATTGAAGTAACATTGTTACTTTTCACCTTCATAGTCTTTGAATATTTTGTGATGAATAGGAATTTGATATAGGAAATTTAAGGTGCTTAATACTTCTCAATGGGTCAACCCGGTCAACATTGTAACGTAACATTAACCAAAATGTTATTAAACGATTGTGATGTGTAACATTACAGTTACATAACCTGATGGTTGCAAATAGGTTCCTATTTCCCACTCATTGAAGTAACATTGTTACATTGCCGTTATGAAAATGAAAGATAACTGTAACGTAACATTAACCAAAATGTTATGTAACGATTGTGATGTGTAACATTACAGTTACATAACCTGACGGTTGCAAATAGGTTCCTATTTCCCACTCATTGAAGTAACATTGTTACATAACAATGTTACATTGCCGTTATGAAAGTGAAACATAACTGTAACGTAACATTAACCAAAATGTTATGCAACGATCGTAATATGTAATATTACAGTTCCATAACCTGACGGTTGCAAATAGGTAACTATTTCCCACTCATTGAAGTAACATTGTTACATAACAATGTTACATTGCCGTTATGAAAGTGAAACATAACTGTAACGTAACATTAACCAAAATGTTATGCAACGATCGTAATATGTAACATTACAGTTACATAACCTGACGGTTGCAAATAGGTCCATTTCCCGTTTTTTTAAGAAACATTGTTACATAACAATGTTACGTTGTCGTTACATAAATGCATTATAATTGTTACGTTGTTATGTATCTTTTTAATGAACTACAATGTTACATTGTCGTTATGAAAGTGAAACATAACTGTAACGTAACATTAACCAAAATGTTATGCAACAATCGTAATATGTAACATTACAGTTGCATAACCTGATGGTTGCAAATAGGTAACAATGTTACGTTGCCGTTACATTTTTGCAATCGAAGTTATGTTACATAACATGGCTTTTACGGTTATGTAACATTGTTACGTTGCAACGTTATTATGCTCGACATGAGAAAGTCCCGTCAGTTGAACGCTAAAGCTCATCAAATGATACATAATATCTTATTCTGACTTTCCCATAATCAGGCATACTGTTTGAGGTCCAATGACAAATGGACATGGTGCGCTGTCTTAACTTCGTTTATATACCTAATCGAGATGGTAACACGAGAGAGATGTAACATAAATGTAACTGTTACGTAACAAACTTATTACAATAGTATTGCAATGTTACGTTACTGTTATATTGCATATTGGTAATTTTGTTATATTACAATAGTTTCACAATGTTACGTTGCTGTTATATTGCATATTGGTAATTTTGATATATTACAATAGTTTCACAATGTTACGTTGCTGTTATATTGCTTATTGGTAATATTGTTACATTAGAAAAGTTTCACAATGTTACGTTACAGTTATATTGCATATTGGTAATTTTGTTATATTACAATAGTTTCACAATGTTACATTGTTGTTACATTGCTTATTGGTAATATTGTTACATTAAAATAGTTTCACAATGTTACGTTGCTGTTATATTGCTTTTGTTACATTACAATAGTTTCACATTGTTACGTTATTGTTATATTGCTTATTGGTAATTTTGTTATATTACAATAGTTTCACAATGTTACGTTGCTGTTATATTGCTTATTGGTAATTTTCTTACATTACAATAGTTTCACAATGTTACATTATTGTTACATTGCTTATTGGTAATTTTGTTACATTACAATAGTATCGCAATGTTATATTGCATATTGGTTAACTTGGGACGGTAACAATGTTACCATTATTTTAGGTAACTGTTGCGTTGCATTTAAGTAACATCGTTACATTGCAATGTAACTCCTATGTTACATAACTGCAATACTGTGTTACGTTAAATGTTGACCGGGAAGTTTATTAATACTTCCCTGAAGTATTTGCAGTCAAAGTTGATGTATCCCGGACAACAAACGTTTTTTTTATCACGCTGTGATATCCTGAGTGCTAAACATGCTTCATCACAGTGATATCACGTAGAACTCACGGTGTGATAATTGCAAAATTTGCGCATGCGTATGAGCCCTGCGAACTGTGAATTTAAAACCTAGCTTGTTATTCACATTACACCGTTATAATTTATAAAACGTTGTTTGAATATCACGAATGTTGCCCGGGTTCAATTAAAAAGGTAATTCCAATGTTTAACAAAACGTGAACGTTTTGTTAAACATTGGAATATCTTTTTTGATTGAACCCGGATAACATTCTTAATATTCATCATAAATGTCATTTGACATTTAAGGCATTTCAGGTTATGTATCTGTCAAAGTATAGTCAACGAAAGAAATCATATTTATATGTTTACCGCTTGTGTTTAAGTGTTAAAAATTAATAAATCTTTATAGTAGGTATCACAATATTTTCGACAAAATTATTATACAAAAAAGGGCCCACACCGTATATGACGTCACTTCCGTCTCGTGTCGTTTTTTCTTTGTTTATTAATTACTATCTATCTTAAAACGTTCTCTTCCAATTACTCTTCGAATTTGAATTCTCAACTCAAGTAGAGAGCATACAATATTCATTTTTACATAGCCCAAATACCTACACGTAGGGCAGAATAAATAACATTCATCAGCACAAGATTTCAACGCTTGACTACAATCCCGGAAAACATTCGTGATATTTATACGAACATCTTGTCGTGATTTTCAAAAATTTTATTCATACGGACATCATCCGGATGTCACTGCGGATGAATTACTCCACTCCCCTTCGGCATGTCCATGCATGGCTAAGTTTCTGAGTTGTTGAACAATAGATAGTATTTATACTATTTTATTGCTTTTATTAGAGTGCGGTACGTATACTTTTTAAAACAATGGTTTTGATTAGATTAAGTATTTTCTAAAATAATTTTGTTAAACCTAGAAATATGGGGTTGGGTGATTTTTGTGGTTTGGTGATATCTGGTGTGGTTAGTTTTAAACATATTTTAAACACTATATATATATCACTATAGTATATATAATAATTGAAATAAAAGAGGTCAAGTACTAAAAAATAATTTTTTTTCTGACGTAGTACTTTTTAAATTGGCATGCATTTAAGTTAAAAAAACGCCAAACTGTTTATATCATAATTATCTTAGGATGAAATATTCACCTGCCATGGTTAACAGATGCATTTTGGATTTGGGGACATCCATTAATTATGTGAGATAAAAATGGGGGGTCTAGCAAAATCTCACCAAATCTTATTTTAAGAGAGAGGGGGGATCATTTAAAATCTCACGTCAACTTTTGAGCTCAAAGAATATGTATTACCTATTCGTGAAATTTGTAATAATAATAATAATAATCAATTTTTTTTCCTTCTTAGGGACCCTAAGTTAGGGTTTATCATGTTGTACTCAAAAAAATTTAACGACTATAATCTATAATGGTTTTGTTTAATTTCTTTTTACATTTTAAATAAAGGTGACCCCTGTTTGTTTATTGGGTTAAATTTCTGTCAATACAGGCTGTTTTAAAAATTGCACCCCAATGTTTATTGAAGTATAAAAAATTTACTAAGTACATTATGGTGTAATTTTCGGGACAGTCTGTATTGTACAGAATTTAACCCAATAAACAAACAGGGGCCACTTTTATTTAAAATAATAGGTACGTTAAAAATAAAGTTTTAAAATTTTTAACAATTTTTTAGTTTTAATTTCCAAATGCATTTTTAGCTAATTTAACATTTAACAATCACAATTAAAAATAGTTTTTTATTTTAAATGATAAAAATTAATAAGGTATTTTTCATGAACGTTAAAAATAAAGTTTTAATATTTTTAATTTTTTTTTTGTTTTTAATTAAATTAATTTCAAATGTATTTAGCTAATTTAATATTATACAAATCGCAGAAAAAATTGTTTTTTATTGTAAATGATAAAAATTAATAAGATCTTTTTCGTGAACAAAGACGGTTACAACTTTTTGTTAACTATATTGTTTTAATATAAATACAGTTTGTCCCAAAAAAGCACCTCAATAAAAAATTTTATTGTCTATACTTTATTAAATTTAATTTCATGTTTATTATCATTTTGAGACTATTCATTTATACATATAAAAGTATAGAAAAAATATATTTCCAAAACTGTTTGTTAATATTATTATTGTTATCAAATTGATGATGATTTTTGGAACATCCTGTGTTGTTTTTCATTGAAAGTAAAATATAAAAAATTTAAATAAGCAGATTAATTTTTTAAATCACATTTAAAAATTTATTCTAAAAAGTAAAACTTTAATAGTTCTCATCCAACAAAAACATGTAATAATTATTATAATTATAATTGTTGATATAAAAATTACCTTTTTCACAGTATCTATCAAATCAAAATGCGTCAAATTATTCTCCACAACTACCTTAAATCCATAGCTTTTAAAAGTAGTTTCCAATTTGTTTTTATCATATTCTGTTCCCTGTCTATCTTCAAATGGATGCAGAGACAATAAATTAACATATTTTTGATCTAACTCTTTGTAAAAAGCTTCTTGGTTTATAATCAAACAAAGGCCAGGATTATTGGGATCTATATCGTATGTACTTTCTTTATCCTCTTCATCTATAATATTTGATATGCTTGATACTTCTGATCTAATAGATGAAATGCTTATTAACTGACTGTTATCTACAGCTTTATTACTGTGCAATTTTTGCTTTACTGGCGTAGGTTTTGTTAAAACATCTTTACTTGTGGATGCTAAAGAATTAATTTGATTTATATTATCCATTGTGATTAAAACCTTACTTAATTTTTCTTGCAAACCTGAAAGTTCCATACTCTTAAGATTGCTTAAAATTTTACTTAAATCATACTTTAAAGTCTCCCAATGCAGTAAATAAAGTTCTAAATAACAGTTTTGAGTAAACAATTTAAAATTTAATCGATTAGCTTCAAAATCCATTTTAACCAGTTTTATAAGTCTTGAAGTTTCAATTGAATTCATATTTTCACACAAAAAATACAAGGCTTTTCTTTTGATCATAACATCACAAGAAACGTAAATATGGTAAGGTAAATATTGATTAATCACCTCATTTTTATTAAAACCCAGTTCATGTAATATTTTAAAATTCTGTATTATACATAGGGCTTCAACCAACTTTTTCTGCCAGTTTGATTCTGTTTTTGTCCAATCCAGAATAGCATTTTCCATATTGCACTTAATAAATCCATCTTCAAGAATATTTAAAGCCCTTTCTGGTGAATCACATCCTAAAAATATTATTCCCACAACATCCCTCTCATCTAGCTTATTGGAAATCTTTTTTATTTCAATATTTTTAGAAACATTTACAAAATTGGGAACATTTACTGCTGCATCTAGGGTTATTTCATCATAGTCCTCATCACCACTCTCTGAGATATTATCCGAAATGTTATTAGACATAACGTAATTTGCCCAAAAATTAGAAATCATCTCCTGCAATTAAATACCAAAAAATAATATACAAATCTTGTTTGAGAATTCCGGACGACTATATATAACGTCAACAAATCAAGGTCACAGAACAAAGGTTACTACTATAAAGTGGGGAACCCCCTATGAGCATAATATGACGTTTTTGATGTGCGCGCAATGAAAAAATATTTCCAGTTTATGGTTAAAGGGACAGCGTTGCCAGGTATGGCTAATTTTAGCCAAAATTGCTATTTTTTAAACCACTGGCTAAATGGGTAAATTTTAAGTGTTGGCGATTTTTTGGATTATTAATACCAAATAATTATTAGTGGTATGGATAAAATTAATTAATTTAAAATAAATAAAGTAATTTAATTTACTAAATTTGGTAAATGTAGTCACCAAGTCACTTATTAATCAGGTTAACTGATGGCCGGTTTATCAATCTCTTTCCAGTTCCAGTTAGTATATCTGACAGTTAAGTTCCATATCCATCATTGTGAGAACAATGGTATCCATGGAAATTATCTACCAGATAAGTGCAACTTTAACTGGACATTGATAAACTAGCCCTGATGGACCTAAATGTTTGATCTATTAAATCTTTGGTGAAAATAAATTCACACTATATTATGTATTTTACCATAGATCCAAGAGCTTTAAACATTTGATCACATCCTTTTTGGACAGGGTACATAATATGTATACCTATATATTATAATCTGAGAGAACAGAAATAAATACAATTTATTTATGTGTTAATACTATTTTTGGGATTTCTTTTTAAATTCTAGTAGGCTTATCCATAGATAAGCCACCTTGTCTATGACTATCATTTCTCAAATACCTAATTATATTTTATCTAGAATGTACAAAATCTGTTAAAACAACATTATAGATGTCCGGAATTCAGTTATGAATCATAACTTATGATTGTGCAACGCAATAACTACACCATATATTGTATATAAAATATTAATAGAATCTAAAACATTACCATCATATTTTACCACTTGTAACAAATTCACATAAAAGTAATTCTAAGAAAATTATAAAATATAGAAAACAATTTGACAAAAACATAACCTAAAACCATACATCAAAACAAATTAAGAAGTGTCTAAAGCCCGCTGCACAACAGCCCGGTAACGGGAACGGTAACCTAAACGGTAAAGGTGGAAGAGACTCAGGGAACCTACCCTATTAAAAATGCCCTATAGAACCCATATTGATCCAGATAAGAAAACTAATATGGATTTATATGGTTCTATATGTTTTATATGGAACGACCTCCCTATTAAAAATGCCCTATAGAACCCATATGGATCCAGATAAGGAAACTAATATGGATTTATATTGTTCTATATGTCCTATATGGAACGACCTGGTTTACACTTTGGAATCTATATGGTTTAATATGGAATTTCATTTTAAAATGTACAACTTAGGGATTTTTATATGGATTTATCTGGTTTCTGTTTTGTGTTTTTCCATATAGGTTTCCCTATATGGTTGAATATGGAATTCCATTTTAAAATGTATATATATTTAAAGTTTAAATTTTAAACGAAAATTGCATATTAAACCATATAGATACCCCTATATGGTTAAATATGGATCTATAAGGTAATAATTTTTTCACACCCAAACCATATTGGGCCAGAGCAATATGAACCTATATGGCAATCCATATAGAAATCACTTTTCTATATGGTTTTCCAGGTATGAAATTCTATCTGGTTGCAATGCCTGTTTCAAATTCCTATATTGAACCAGATAGATTTTTATTTTGTGTTTCTATATGGCATTTTTAATAGGGTATATCAAGCAATGTGATTGGTTTTACGGTAAAAGTTAAAACTAAAAATAAAAACTTCTACGGGAGTAAGGGAGGCCGTTCTTAGGATACGGGAATCTATAAACAGCACTACGGTTTTCGTATCGTTCCTCTTTTACGGGAGGAAGGAAGGAAGGCAATCTATAAATCAGACTTAAGATTTGGTTTGTTTGATTTGTTCTATGGTTAGATGTGGCAACGTTGCTGTAGCCATTCTTATTTACATGTCAAATTGTTTTATAAATTGCTTCTTAACTTTTTATATTTTATAAATGTTAGGAAAACTTTAAGTTTAATAAGCAACATATAAAGTTTCAAACAAGCATAAGAATTTTTATATTGGTGCTTGTTAATTTCCTTATAGAGGTTTATAAAGATGACTATTGGAGGATCAACCAAGTTGTACTATGGCAAAAAGTAAGTCTAAAAGAAACGTTTTAGTTAATTTTATTTGTTCAAATTTTTAGGAAAGACCCAACTTATCCACCGCAAGGTGTTCGTTGCCAGAAGTGTCTTGAATATGGCCATTGGTCCTATGAATGTAAAAACAAACGAAAATATGTTCACAGGTCTTCCAGAACACAAACCTTGAAAAAAAGATTAAAGACAATGGACATTGCTCAAAGGGCAACTGATAAAAAATCTGAGGCCAAAACAGACTCAAAGAATGATAAGACAAAATCCAAAAACAAAAATGACAACAGGAGCAGTAGTTCAGATTCAGATGACAGCAGCTCAAGTGACAATAGCTCATCTTCCAGCAGTAGTTCAAGTGATTCAAGTTCTTCTGAATCAGATAATGATGAGTAGAATAGAAAAAATCACTTTGGGTATACAGTTTGAGACCAATATTTTCTAAATAAATTATGTTGAGATTGACTAGTCTATGTTGAGACAGCTGTGTTAGACAGTGACTTCCACAAAAAAATCAATGTCACTTTTGATATCAAACAATGTTTGCCAAACATAGTCAGCCTCAACATGTTTTCCTTTGGTCTTACAAGGTGCTCAGAACACTTTTTCCTAAGTATTGTAAAACTTTTATGTATGATTTAAATATTAAAAGTTAAGTTTAATAAATTTGATAAATGCATTTTCAACATATCGTCACCCTAATATAACAAGGTTGTATGTTAATTAAAAAAAACGAAAAATTTAAGTCTATGTTTCTACAGGATTATACGTGGCCTACGCTTCACATACCACTTAAAAATAATTCTATAGAATGTATATTCTATGTATACATATATAATAATAATAATAATAATAATATAAGTCTTTATTGAAACATTTTACATTTTCAAACGGCGAAGTTCAGCGTGTTTAAAAGAAAACATCTGTTCTTCCACTTAACCGTTAAGATACATACTTATTTTAGCAAATAAATATTTAAATTTATATAAAAAAAATAAAACAAAAAAAAACATATATACATGCATAAAAGTGAGACAATTTTGGTAATTTATAAAAAATAAGTGAAGAAAACAGACCAAAAATTAATTATAATTTAGGAAGCCATTCAATAACATTTTTTTTACATTTTTCTTAAAAGCTGTAGATTTACTATTCTTTACACTATCAGGAAGCAAATTGTACCATTTGGCAATATTGTATGAGTAACTCCTTTGAAAAATAGCTGATTTATGACGAGGGATCGTTAAGTTAAGTCTGTTTCTAATATTTAAAGTGTGAACATCAGTTCGAAATTTTATTTTGTTATACAAGTATGGTGGGCATTTATAAGTGACAACGTTATTGAATAATACAAGAGAGTGTAACAGTCTTCTCTCTGACATGTTTAACCAGCCTATTTCACAAAATTTGTTTTTTACTGAAAGTCTCCTTCTTACACCACATATTAAGCGAACACACGAGTTTTGCAGTCTTTGTATTCGTCTTTCATCAATTTTTGTAAGACAAAAACCATAAAGGGCATCACAGTAGTTAAAATGCGAAAGTACCATTGAATCACATAAAAGTTTTTTAATATTAGTATTTAATAAATGTCTTTGCGAATATATATTTTTTAAGTTATAAAAAGCCTTTTTGACGCAATTTGAAACATGTTCAGAAAACCTAAGATTTGAGTCAAAAATAACACCAAGGTTTTTTGCCTTATTAACCTGCTCAATTTTCTGCCCATTAATAGTTAAGCTAATACTGGGTACATTTCCTCGTTTGCTAAAAACTATAACTTTAGACTTTTGGGGATTTATTTGGAGAGAGTGTGCTGACGACTCCAAACTTAAATTTTCAAGATCTTTATTTATTATTCCTGTAATTTCACATATGTCTTCACACTTAAAAGGAAAATACAATTGTGTGTCATCGGCATACAAGTGAACATTGCAGTTTTTAATGCATTTTACTAATTGTGATGTGTATATAGCAAACAGAAGGGGACCTAAGATCGAGCCTTGCGGTACTCCACATTTGATTTCAACAGGAGTCGAAATATTATTTTTTATCCTGACGCATTGCTGCCTGTCACTCAAATACATCCTTAAAAAAATTACTGAAGTATAACCAAAGCCAATATATTTTAAAATTGCAAGTAATAATTTATGGTTAATTAAGTCGAAGGCTTTGGAATAATCCAACAAAATGAGAGCTGCCATATTATTTGAATCAAGGTCTTGTAATATATCATCAGTTACTTTTAAAAGTGCTGCCCTGCTTAAAATACCCCATAGAGACCTATACAAAATAATCTATCGGGCGCTACCGGATTCTATATGTGCATTTGTCCATGGGTTTTTCCGGATACAGCCCGATAGAAAATGTATAGGAAATTACCTATAGGCACACCATAACTTTTACATTTTCCCTATTGAGACCGATAGAAAATAACTCAATGAAGGATATATAGGGATATCCCTATAGAGCAACCATAAAACATTTGACAAAATTTTATTAAAACCTATAGGGTCCTATAGGGAAAAAACTAATTTCTACATTTATGTGTATTTTCCCCATTGAAACCGATAGCAAATAAATCAATGGTGGATATCCCTATAGAACAACCATAAATCTCAACTACGGGTCCTATACAAACCGATACACCCTATAGAAACACCATACATCCCGATACAAATATCTATCGGTTTGAACAGGGTCTCTATGGGGTATTTTAAGCAGGGTGTTGTACAACTGTATCTAGATCTAAAACCTGATTGAATGGGTGGTAAAATGTTAAAAGTATCCAAATGATTTCTTATTTGTTGGTATATAAGTTTTTCCAAAATCTTTGACATTGTTGGTAGAATACTAATAGGCCTGAGATCTTTTAATTCAGTTGGGCATCTGACTTTTGGAATAGGAGTTATATAAGACAATTTCCAACCTTTTGGAAAGCTACTAGTTTCTATACAGTAGTTTATTATATGTGTCAAAACTGGAATAATATAGGGACAGCAAAACAATAACATACCTATACTTATTCCATCACTACCCACAGCTTTGGACTTAATAGAGAGGAGACATTTATGTACTTCATTTTCAGTTACAGTAGAAAAATGAAATAAAGAAACACCAGTAATTTCGTTATTATTGTAAAAATTATACTTATTATTATACATTTTCTTAAAAACTCAAATTTTGTTAAAATCGATACTCCTCCTACATTTATCATGACAAACAATGCAAGCACAACACCAGACTTAATATTATGTACAGATAACATAAAAAATAATATAAAAAAAATAAATATTATTCCGGATTTATGTTCAGACCACCAATCAATTGAAATAACATTTAACCTGCAAACAAAAATAAATACCTCTCCTGAAATGATATACGATTTTAACAAATGCAACCTAGAAAACCTAAATGTAGAATTAACCGATTATATAAAAAGCATGCAAAATTTAGACCCAACAATAATTACACAATTCCTCAACTTTACCTGCCAAAAGATTCTGGATAACTCACCTAAAAAACCAAAAACTTTTTACAATCAAGTACTACCTCCTTTCATACTAAGATTATTAAGAACAAAAAGACAAATGCTTAGAGAAATCCACAAATATGATAACCAAAACCTAAAATCTAAATTCAATGATTTAAACAAAGACATTAAAATATTAATTTTGCAATATAAATCCACCAAATATCTTGAAGCATGCAAGAATATAAGTAACTTAAAAGGCAAAAACTATTGGCAAGAAATAAAAAAACTTTCAGGTTACAAAAAGAACACTCATAAAAATGTTGAAATTGTAGAAAATAATGTTGTCCTCAATGAGGACCAGGATGTGGCAGATGCTTTTGGCAGACATTACAAGAAAATATATGAAATGTCGGAAGATATAAACTTTGATGATCAAAGCTTCAAAGAAATAAATGACTGGTACGAGTTGTACTTTAACGACCATACCGACCCTGGAGAAGTGCCTGAAGTAACTGAAGAGGAATATTATCATGTACTAAATACCGGCAAAAATACAGCACCAGGTTATGACCATATCTCCAAAAAGACTCTTAAAAACTTATGTGCTGAATTCCATGGAAAAGTTTTAGATATATATAATTACTGTAATAAAAACCGATACTATCCACAAGAATTTAAAAAAGGAATTATAATAAACATTCCTAAACCGAATTGCGATCTGACAAAAACAACCAACTTTCGCCCAATTACTTTACTACCAGTCATTGGAAAAAACTTAGAAAAAATCATTAAAATAAGGCTAGAAGAAGAACTAGATGACAAGATTCCACCCCATCAATTTGGCTTTAGAAAAAATTCTTCAACAATCCATCCACTGCTTATTCTAACTTCGAATGTTCAAACAAACAATCTAAAAGGCAACAAATCAGCAGCTCTCTTCATGGACATTAGTAAAGCATTCCCCGGGGAAAAATTTTTCATATATAATCATATATGATTATATAAAATTATACATAATTTAATTCATATATAATTATATATGAATTTTGACCATCCATGATCATATATGAATTTTGGAATATATATAATTATATATAACCATACATGATCATATATGGAATTGGAACATATATAATTATATATAACTATATATGACCATATATAATCAAAATTATATATAATTATATATAAAACGCCGTAAACAACACTCTGCAATTTTTGGATTAATGACATTTTCTATTAGAACAATTTATCCTGCATACATTCCCACCACCTAAAAAGGGCCTTTTGGGTAGCAGGAATGGATGCAGGATGTGTTAATACAATAATCGTTAATAATTATTATTGTTCTAGTAAAAAATGCCATTAAGCTGAAAATCACAAAATATTGGTAACGACGTTTTTTAACCACGGTAGTGGTAGTAAATAAAATAAAAAAGCTTATAAAAAATATTTTTATAGTTGTTTATTAGTTAATTAAAAAGCAAATTTTGTAAAAAAAAATACTTATGTGGTACCTGGTGACTCTTGGGTTTTTCTTTGCAAGCCATGGTTCTTTTGTTGCCCAAGGTATCGTTGTTTTGTAGTCCTAAATACCTCGTCTACATGTTCTTTAAATTCGGACATGTCTGATGGACCTTGTGCAGTCCATGGCAGCTTCTGTAAAATAGAAAATAGTACAATGCATTTCTACGAACCACAGGTACCTATAAATTTTGGCTTCGATTGCACTCAGCTGTGCTGTCAATGACAGCCTGTCATTATTCAATAAGTTTCTTGCCGTTAATTGTCAAAATTTGCATTTAATGCCTATATTAATCACGCACATAAATTATAAACCCAGATAAACATTTCACATCAATTTAATTAACGTTCGTATTTCACACGTTTCAATTTTGCAGACATTACAAAAAAACCTAGGTTATATTTTGAGGTTAAATTATTAATAATTATTATTTAATAAATAATTATTAATTTTGTTAACAAAAAACCAATATAATACTTAATAAATTCATGAGTAAGTAAAATGTAAATTTGAAAACAAACCGACTGTCAAATAATTTAATAAGCGAGGACATGTCACATGTTTAAATTAAACAAAAAAAACGAAACTTACCTTCTTTTTCCCAACACGATCTGTGCACTTATATTATAATTATAAACTATTATAAATAATTATTACAACCATAGAAACAGAATATTACAACCACTTAAACAAATAAAACAATCGGGCAAAGAC